AGCTCCTTATTAGGTTACAGAAACTAAAATCTTTCAATTTTGCCTCCAGCCAGACTTGAACTGTTAACCTTACTGTGGAGGGTATGGGAGCTTTAACCACTAAGCTATGGGACCCACACCCTGATTTTGAATCTAATGTAATTTTATTTTTGAAAGATTTAATACTACTATTTTTGTTTTTAAATCTGTATTTTAAGCAATGTATGATGTTACATATGCTAAATTTCTAAACTATTTATCTAATCATCTATCTAGATCTTTATTTAAAATCACTTAAATTTTTGATCCTTGTTATATTTAGTTGACATTAACTCATCATATTATTCAATAATATTGTGATGAAATTACTCAACTTTCTAATCCTTCTGCATCTCTTCTTCATGAATAGGGTTTATATTATAACTTAGAACTAGCTAAAATTGAACATTTGAATTTTAAAGCTTTTTGGAAAAAGTTTCATTTATGCTTCCTCTTTTAAGTGAAATAGCTTTTAATTATATTTGACTTCCAATTTCATCATGCATTGTAGAGTGTAACTTTTCAGTTTATAACAATATTTTAACTGATAATTGACACAATTTGAGTAGTGAATCACTTAAAATGTTGAATATGTTTTTCAATGCAATGAAAAAATAAACATTCAATTTTACATAATCAAAATTTATTAATATATTTGCAAAAATAACCAAAATTAATCGATATTGGCAATATTTGCAAAAAATAATCAAAATATTTTAAAATTATCCAAATAATATTTGACTGAGGTGCGTTCACGTGGTTAACAGCCAATCAAGTCAAAATTTTGATTTACCCGCTTATACAATAGGATGGAAATCGCAAAAAAATTACAAAACAATTGTCTAAAGCTGTCTTGGAGCACTAATAAAAAATACCGAAAGACTAACCCAAATCCCTCACCAACCTCAATTATTATGATTACACTAACACAATTTAACATTTAATTTAAAAAAAACACTTAAGATTTTAATGATTAAAACTTTTATTTAAAAGTCAATAAATATCATACATGAATTTCAGATTTCAGAAAAGGTTTATAAACATATTTTTAATTAAATTAAATAAAAAAATTTACATATAAAATTTAAGCATGTTAGCTCAATTAATCAATAAATACAGAATTAATAAAAATTCTATGCCTGATATGTAAATTTATTTTTGGTCTGTTGAATCAGGTTTTTCGTCATACTCTTCATCAAACATTGGATCTGACATCTCTTGTGTATACCACATATCTCCATAAAGGCTACCTTCTTTTTGTATAAGGTCATCATGTGTACCCTGTTCAACTATAACACCGTCGCGTAGTACAAAAATTTCATCTAAAAAATATTAATTCATATGTTGAGTATAAAATAAAATAAAATTCAGGCGATAAAAGTACTAATGATCTACATACCTGCATCTGAAATTGACCTTAACCTATGTGCAACAAACATGCTTGTTTTACTCTTTTCCTGAAGTAGACTTCTTATGTTTGCAAGTAAAGACTGTTCAGTATGAGTATCTAACGCTGAAGTTGCCTCATCAAAAAAAAGTATTGGAGGATCTTTTAAAATTGTTCTTGCTAAAGCTACACGTTGTTTTTCACCTCCTGAAAGCATAAAACCACGTTCACCGACGCGAGTATTATATTTATCGGGTAATGATTGGATTACATCATGAATTTGAGCCTTTTTTGCTGCATTTTCAACTTCACTGGAAATGGCATTAATTTTACCATATAATATATTATGATAAATAGAATTGTTAAAGAGAGCGGTGTCCTATTAACACATTGGCCAATTAAAATCTGTAGTTAGGATTCATAAATCTTTAAAATTTTGCTATAAGTATTTGTGGTAGCCTTAGCTGGGATTTGCTTATGCTGGAATTTTACCCTATTTAATATACAACTTTGAAAATTTTGAGACCTTTTTGTTAGGATTAAGTGTAATCTTATTAATAAGAGTATATGTGAATTTTGGTAGATGGTAGATATTATTATAGATTTATATATTTAAACAAGAGGCCCCAAATTCCGGTTTAAATGAATCCAGGAATAAGCAAATCTCGGAATTAGCAAACCCTAGAATAAGCAAATCCCAGCGTAAGAAATTTCAGCAGAAGCTGTCACAATATTTATTACCTGTGGAACCACGCCAATGCTTTTTCTTAAACTTTCCAATGTGACCTTTTTAATGTTCTGCCCATCAATATATATATTTCCAGATTGTGGATCGTAAAATCGAAATAATAATCGTAATATAGTCGACTTTCTAAATAAAACAAGTTTTTAATGTAAAAAACAATTTGATCAAATAAGCAAATATTAATAATGAAATTAGATTTACCCGCATCCACTTGGCCCTACAATTGCTACCTTTTTTCCTCTTGGGACAATAAAACTAACACCATTCAAAATAGGACGTTCAGGATGATATCCAAAAAATACATTTTCGAATCTGATTTCACCACCTTGGACAATGAGTGGTTTCACGTCAGGCATGTCCTAAGTTGTAGGAACAATTGATTATTCAGGATGCATATAAAATATATAAAATGCATTAATGATAATTTAATAGAATTTTCAATACCTTAATAGTGATGTTCATGGATTGTAAATTAAACATAACATCCATGTCAATCAAACTTTGTCGTAGTTCTCTGTAAACCGAACCAAGGAAGTTTAAAGGTAATGAAAGTTGAAATACAAGTTGATTAATCATCACCAAATCACCAACAGTTAGTGTTCCTATAAACAATAAGAATTTTTTAAATTAAGAGTAAAAATTATATATTAAAGTTAAACCTAAAAAGAAGTTTTATACCTTGAACAATTCCTTGAGCAGCTAAAGCCATCATAGCTGTTAAGGCAGAGCTAAAAATGAGATTTTGACCAGAATTCAAAAAGGCCAAAGAAGTTGCTATTTTAAGGGAGGCTTTTTCATATTTAGATAAAGCCTTATCATATTGTTCAGTTTCAAATTTTTCATTGTTAAAGTATTTAACAGCTTCATAATTTAACAAAGAGTCTACTGCTACTGTTGCAGCCTCATTATCAGCCTGATTTGCCTCTTTGCGAAATTTGGTACTATCAAGACATCGTTAAATTAATTGTCAACTTAATATATGTATATAAATAAGAAGTAGATTTAATTATAAAATTTACCGCCATGAGGTTGTCTTTATTGTAAATACAGCGTATGTTGCCATTGTCATTATGGTTACAGTTGCAAAACTTGTGCCATAATTCTTGATCTAGAAATTGCAAACGATCATTGTATTATAATTAATGATAAAACAGGGTTCATTGTTAAGTAAAAAAATGGCCCTCAGGAACTACATAGATTTTATAAAGTTAAATTGCTATCTATCCAATAATTCGATCTAACCTTTTTTTTCGAAATAAATAATTTTAAATTTATTTACAGTTCTACAAGGCCATTTTCTTGGTAAGATTCTATACATTAAAAAATTGAGTCCTACCAAAATACCGCAAACTATCGCGATTTCCAAGGCTGTTGGTAAAACGTGAAATACGAGAGAAGAAAGCAAAAAACTGATGCCTCTAATTTAGAGCGTGGGTTCGATACCGAACGTTATTAAATGAGTGATGGAAAACCAAATTTCACAGATTGTCGTGATATAAACATCATAAAAAGTCTGATTTGTATAAAGTTATATCCCTAACTCATTTCAATGAGCATGATATCTGTGTAGGAGGGATACACCGTATAGAAACAAATATGTTTTACTATATCTGCATGGTATGATACATATATTATATGTCATACTTAGGTACCCGGATATAAATCATGGCCAATTTTTACACAAGTCAGACTTTTACAGTAGTTATATTGTTGAATATTTACTTAGTTCCACGATCAATAGCTCTACTTAAACCACCCGTCTGACGTTTGAGATGGAAATCCAAATCTAATTTATGTAAGTGATAAAAAACATTCTTGGCAACTTTTCGAATAGCTTTTTGCGCTACATTGGCGAATATTGCATTACGAATTTCAGAGAATATTGTTGCACCAATGCGTGCAAGACCATCTGAAATATAGAAAATACAAAGACTTTATTAGGAATTAAGTCTTTTTATTTTTTTAAAAAAAAATTAAATATTAATGTTACATACACCCAGCTATCATAGCACCAACTACAGTTAATGCAGTTCCAATCTGAGCAGTATCTATATTTAAAGAATCAACTATATATTTGAAAAAGAATGGAACTTGAACGTTGAGAATCTTTATAAATGAAAATTGTATTGATATTTAAATTAATGAAGTCAATTGAAGATGATATAAAATCACGAAACACAATTACCTTTCCTCCAACCAAGAAAGATAACGCAACTACAACACGAATCTTTATAGATAAATCATCTTTAGGCCATATATAACCAATTAAATGTTTTAATATATGCCAATCTGTATTTTGGGAAGATTTTGTCTTAGATTCAAGACTGGTTGACTGTTTGGACACCGAATTTAAATTATTTTTAGAAGTAGTTGATGTATAGGTTTTAGGTAAACCTGTTTTATTTAATGACGAAAGGCGAAACCTAAAACCAGCGAAAGACGAAGGATGAAACCCCTGACGAAATGATGAAAACCTGGAAAGAGAAGAAACCTCTGATGAAATTACGAAATTCTGACGAAAGACGGAACTTTTGGAGAAATGATGAATCTTTCGATGTAAGATGAAATTTCTGGTGAAATATGAAACTTCGGAAACCTTAATGAAAGATGGGGCCCTAAGGAAGGTAAGGGGCTGAGTTGTAGTTGATAGGAGAAACCATTTTTTTCATGTTGAAAAAGTCAATAGAATCTGGAATGGATCTTCGATGCGTAGGCTGCGTATAATTTCCCTATATATAGTAAGACCTACTTCATCTTGTGATCCTATCTTTATCTGCCGATCATGTACTGCCATTGTACACGTACACCTTTTGTCATTATCGTTATAGAGATGGCTGCTGCAAATGTTGTAACTTACTGCATAAGATAGTAACAGGTTTATCCTTTATCATTCATTAAAATATTCACAATTTGCATTGGCAAAAAATAATACGATGTTAAAAATCAACTTTGAATAGAGAAAGTCGCATTCGCATAGGTAATTTGAACTTTGGTTTTATTTTATGTCAGCAATTGTCAGGAATTATCGAGTTAAGACTTTGCTAGCTATGGCAGATCTTCTAAAGTGATCTGTATGGGTAATTAATCTGTAATGAAAACTATTAGAATATTGTTTGCTATAACTAGGAGTGTTTTGTCATATCTCAAGTTTTTAAACTCTAGTCAAAAAACTATTGATGAGCTTATATCTTTGATTTTAAAATAAAATATAACTATATAATTCTATATAACTGGAATTCATCTAAAATTCAAATTATCAAAAGAATTGTTTATTAAAATTACTTAATCTGAATATTCAAAGTATGTGGAATAAAATGTTGACAATTATTTACAAAATGTTATTTTATTCATGGGTTTCAAACACTTGATTCTTTATACAATGAATCTTTTTTCAATTGATTGATCTTTATTCATTAAGTAAACTTTGTTTGTAGTAATAATTTTTTTATTACTAAATATATTAAGTCTTTAAAAAATTTTTGATAAAGGAAATTTTTTGATTGTTTGTTTAACGCAAAATAAATTTTTATGAAAAAAAGGTTAGTTGTTATATGTATAGATTTTATTGTAGATCAAGTTTACTTAATGTATAAAAGATTTATTTTGTTTTATTGTATCGAATTTTGTAATGTTAGCAAAATTTTATGCAATTTCGCTACATATGAAATTCAGTTTTTTTAAACCTTTACGATAACTAGTTTGCCGGTGAAAAAAAAAAAAAATTTGAATATTCCAAAATCCATCAACTTTCTAATACTGTTCATAAACCCTACCAACAAAATAATAAAAAATAGAATTTCATATGTACCGAATTTAGTATTCTCAAACTATTGATAAAATACCGATAAAATGTAATATAGTATCTTATTAAGATACTGTATTGTAACACGCTGATAACTAACTGCTACACCATCTTCTAAACAATTATATTTTTTTTTTTGTGCAAAATTCAAAACACACAATCAATAAAACCTTCTTTCAGGTTGAATAACCCCAGTTAAATGATAAAATTGAATTAAACCATCAATTTCATCAGACAAATCTCCATGATAAAATTTGCATGGTTTAAATTTTAACCTATTCATGCAAGCACCTAAAAAGGATTTAATCGCATCTACCGAGTAATTCCAAGATATTCCAAACTCTAATTTTCTTAAACCAGTAGGTACTATAGGGCTCATTTCTTCAAGGAATGGGCTAATATCAATTGAATTATTTTGATCACCAAATAAGTGAATATCTTCCAATTTTAAACAGTTTCTAAATAATTGTGAGAGTTCAAGAAGAGATTCGTTAGGAATATACAAATGAATAAATGTCAAATTTGGACAATTGTTCACAATTGATGAAAATAAAGTTGTATAATAGGTTTGATCCAAAGCATTTGAAATATCCAATTTGATAACTTCAAGACTTCCTTTTGTGTTTTGAATTAATGACACAAATGATTGAATGTAATGCGGCAAATGATATGTAATCAATAGCTTTCGAAGTTTTTGTGGACCAGAATTTGTAAAAAGGATCTGACGTGGTGGTTGTGTAGCAAATGAATTTAATTGACGATTAGTCGGTTGATTTTGAGTAGTTCGTATAGGTAAAGGTCTTGGACTAGTTATAAGAACCGGATTTTGTGTATGTCCTTGAGGAATCTGCGCCGTCGTTCGGTTTCGTCTTTGATGAGATGCAGTTCTTTGATGAGGGAAGTTTTGTCTATGTGCTCGGATTGTTTGATTCAAAAATTGTAATGTTCTTGCTTGTTGCTGTTGTAACCTTAGCCGCATTTGTGCAGCATGTCGTCGAATCAACCATTGTGCTTGTGCAAGGGCACCTCGTGGAAAAATTAAAGTTAATTCTTCAAGATCTGGTGAATTACATAATATTTCTAAACAATCAGAAAGTGATGGAAGTCCAATAGAAATATATGCATTACGAGCACTTAAAGCAAATTTTTGAAAAGTTTTAGCTTTATTATTAAGTACTGAAATTATTCTTGGAATATCCCGACATATATGAATATCGATTTCTTTAAGGGTTTTTTGTGCATTGATGAGATTAATCATTCCATGTGAATCTTCACCATCGTAAATATTTAAACTTTGAAGTTCTAATGTGACTGCTGCTAATGAAGAAAGAAATCTAGATGGCGTAGTGCCTATATAAAATGACGTATGTCAGTTTGATGTAATTTTACTTCTACTAACGATCATTACTGTTGTATTAGTAATTATATCAATTATTATTTCAATTGTTAATTAATATTACCTTTACAACTAAATTTCTGGAGTCTTGAAAGACCCGTTATAATACTAGGCAAATTGGCCAAATTGATTTCTAAAGGAAAATCAATAATCCTCTTATCTAAATGAGAAATAATAATTCCAGATAACTTTTGATAACTAAAATCAAGAGATTTTAGATGTGAATCTTGATTAAGGAACATCTTGAGTAGTTCATCGGAAACCAATTTAATTCTATCATTTTCATGTCCATCGTGTTGTCTATCCAAAATTTTTTCAATTGAATCTTGTAATAATATATAGTTTAAATTTTGTAAAAATTGAGGATAATTAAACATTAAACTGATATTTGAAAAATCGACCGGCCTTGCTATATAAGCATCGATCAACTTTTGTCTTGATTCGTTGGGAAGTGAAGAAATATAAGTTGAAAGAATAGATGCAATCTTGTCATAGTATACTTGATTTCGATTATTATAGGCAAATTCTAAAGGATTAGCCCAAAGGATGGAAATAGCACTTTGACACCAATCTCGACTGACCAGTACTGATGAATATAAAGAAGGTTCATCAAGTTCTTCAAATATCGCTTGTAATATTTCTGGGGGAAGTAACATTTTGTTAAGAATAAACTACGATCTATTTGAGCACAAAATCGTAAGGTAAAATATTTAATACGTGATTACCCTGATTGGGGGTAAACGGTCATACGTTTTAAAGTCATCGACAATAATGTTACCTAAATTTGATTTTTGCGTTAGCTGATCTACATTTTGCCGAACTGGATTACATAATATGATATATATGATAAATATATATATATCGATATAGTCATAGTCATATATTATAACGATATATTGTATAGTAGATTTGTAGTTCATCGCCTAGCCGTGACAAAAATAACCACTCTAGCGTCAACCTAAGAAACTTTGCTATCCGATCAAATCAAAAATTCCGACAATAACACTAATAACGAAATTTTTTTTCGTTGGTAACTAAGTTCCTAGCCCGAAATCTGAATCGGTAAAAATTTTCTAATCGATTAGTTGGATAAATTAAATTGTAATTGCTGGTATTGATTTAAAAAAAGTTTTTCAGAAGTTATTAAATAGATAATAATTCAACGATTAGTTGCTACTAAAGGTTTAAATCCAACTTTTCGATTACTGTAATCATCATGGTATAGTTCAAAATTTCCAGGATTATTCGTAAATTTAAAAATCAGTATTGATAGGATCTGTTTAGGTTAGGATTAAGTTCAGCATTATACGTAAAATTGCATTCTAGAAAGTTAAGTTTAGACTCCCATTCTTCCCATTCTTATGATTTTTTTCATGGAATGATTTTCATGATCTGCATAATGCTGGCCATTTCCTAATATTCCATAAAAGATCTGGCTTTAAAAATTCTTGAGTGAATATCCTGCCTGATGATATTTATGCAATACGTGCGCTACAACTTGTCTTAAAAAAAAATGACGTTATTTTTTAGGGGACTTTTGAACATTTGTAATGGTAAATGAAAAAGGAGTTCAGAATTGCTTAATAATAATATTAGAATTTATTTTATACGTATAAACTTACACCTAATCCTAAAATTTTAGGAAATTCCGAACATATAGATTTCAATAAATACAGTATACGTAGTGAAAATCAATCCTTATTTTATATATACATACTCATATAATTTAATATATAATCGGAAATTAGCTATATTAATATATTTCTAAAATTAAAACTTTATTACGTACAGTTTTGTACGTATTCAAAACTAATACGTATACGAATATTGTAAATATATAATGTAAATGTTACAAATGTTGATCAGGGCAAATCAAAATACATACATAATTGGATAGGAAGATTCTACACTTAAAAAACTTAGCCGATGACCAGCACCCACCCCTGCGTTATTATAAATTTTAGGCTACCCCCGTCAGCAATTCGCTCACTAAAAACACTGTATATAATAGTGATTATTTTTTGCAAAATTGATCAAAATTAGAGGACAATGTCGATATGAGAAATCCAGCGTTATCTTTAATTGAGGCCACATTCCGACCATCGGAATTTAGCATAACCAGATCGCACTTACTATGAATTATTATGATTTATTTTTACACTTTATTCATTTGCATTTCTCATTTGAATTTTTTATATTACTTATTGGATATAAATAAAAGGAATAGGGCTTCAAAATTAACAAATAAGTAGTGCATTTTAAAATCAAATAGGATTTTTTGAATTATAAATCGGGAAAATAAAATAAGATTTTCTGATCTTAATTTGAAACCCCTTAATGATAATAATTGAAAGCTAAACCTTTTATGTAAAATAATGCAGATATATAAGTTTAAATTTTCGTTAATTTGCAAGCATGAATTCAACCTAATATCGCTTATACTATCCAATTTAGTCATGATTATGTAGATTTTATTTATTGCCTCGGCCGAAGCTGGACATTTTAAATTTTGGGACATTTGGCAAAAAATTGACCGAATGATTATCAGGCCGATTCGATAAGTTATTGATTTCGGCAGTGATAAACTTTTGTTTTTGAACATGATTAGATATAAAGCGATTATTTTTAATACATAATTATAGACTTCTGACCACTAACAATGTCAACACATTCGAAATTAGGTTTTCGCTTAAATGCATGTCCAGTATGTTTGGTGTGTTTAGTCTGTACGAAAATTTATGGCGAAGATTGTTCTTGCCAACTAATGGATCTTAATAAAAAACATAAAAAAGGTCCTGAATATAAGATAACCTTTCATAATAAATACATAACACGAGTAGGCGCTAATATAAAAAAAGTTCGTTATGACCAAGAATTTATTGACTGGATTAAAAACAACATAAATCGAATTATAATTCCAAATAACCAAGATTTTATCAACATTTGTCAAAACTGCGTTGAGAACTATAATCAACGGAACCAAAGTAAAATTTTAAAGATTTTATATATAATGTTTATTATAAAATATAGTTCAAAAAGAAAACCAGTATGAATCAGGCGAAAATATTGAAACGATAGACTTGACAACTAAAGAACCTTTAAGTTATTCATCCGTAACCAATATTTTACAAACACCTAATTTGTCTGAAGTAATGGAGGCTGAATCTAAATTATCCAACTTGTTTGAAGCAACAGCAACTGAATCTAATGCAACACCCAACTTATCTGAAGCAACAGTGACCCAATCAAAAATTATTACACCAAAAGGACCAGTTAAAAGTAAGATACGTTATATACTTTATAATATACTTTATAATATATATTTATTTAATATCTAATAAATTTTATTTTAGCATTTGTTACACTAGTGTGTTACGATCGATTTGAGAAACCACATAAAAAACTTGATGGAGCATTAGCAATTCCATATGACCTTGAAAATATAAAAGTTTCGGAAACATTGAAGAAGAAATTCTATCACGCACACTTCCTGAGCAATGGGGAAAGATTAAATTAGGTCATATTTGTTATCAAATTTCAAATACAACCAAAGCAGATCATTACGATTTAAAATCAGATGGGGTTATTACTGCTTTTATTTTGAAATTAAATATAAAAAGAATCTTTAATTGTGCGTTTATCAAAAAAATGATGAATCCACTAGAGTTAGCAAAAAAGTTCATATAAGTATCAAATTAAATATTTTAATATTTAAATTTTATTTATACTAATTATAATTTATTTATTGTAAAATTTATTATTAGACACTTGAAACTGAATCTGATGTCATTAATACATTGAACAATATCAAAAAAAATATTAATAAAAATCTTTCATCATGTGATATACACATTCAAGGTTGTTTGATTTCTGATGACAGTTAACATTTAAAATTGGATAATAATTTAATAATTTTGTGAACATGTGCAGTTGTAAGTGTTTAATAATTTATATATGTATTAAATATTTATAAATACAGCATATACATATTAATTTTTTTAATAAAGTTAACTAAAATGCAGGGTGTCAATGAACAAATGCCTTCAAATATTTCATTATTCAATAAAAATAAATATTGATACCCAATTTCTAAATGATTTTCAAATAAAAATATATTATTGTTATATATAATATATATTTAAAATTTTTAATATATACTTATATATAATTTTATATATATTATAATTAATTTAAAACCTTTAATTAATTCTTCTTTTACAACAAATTCTACTTTTATATTAATAATTACTACATCAACATTACATTCATTATCTCTTCATACAATAAAAAAAATTATTACTAAAATCTAATATTTACATTACTAAAAATATGACATTTCAAAATTTGCTTAATTATATATTTCCTAACAGCTCTCCAAGTAGTAAATGATTTATAATTAAATTATTATTAGAAATAAACAGGCAATTTTTTTTACCTAAACAAGTTATAAGTTACATATATAAAGAAACATATAGTCATATTTGGATAGATCTTATAAAAGTTGAAGTAAAATTTGATGACTTATTTGATTAATTAATAGATTTAATATATATTTGCATATAAATAAATAAATATATGTAATTATTAATTTTTTTTTTGGTATTAAGGTGAGGCCTTGCTCGTATCTTTATTGGTAGTTTAAAAATTAGTAGCTACATGGAGCTGCTATGTACAAAAAGTAATTTTCTATATAAATGCTATGGCTAAAACCAACACTTGCAGTCAGGGCTAAATCATTAAACTGCTAACTATATAGTTACTCTAAGTACAAATAAAAGAAAACTACATTCAAGAATAAAAGCTCAGACATATTTATCTGTGACCTAAACCTACTAGAGTGGTTAAGACTCACCTAGATTTGTAAGTTTAGAATATGGTTATAAGATGTAATTATTATATGTATATAGTATATATATATAATACAAATAAATAATACTCATCTTAATATCTAAAAAAAAATAACTAAATAAATAATATTTTAAAACATATATACAATATATTATATTTAAAATTAGCATTTGCTTAATATTATACATGCAGATTTGTTTAATTTATCTATATATATTGTTGGGTTTAGAAGATTGTGACTCAGTTATTCCAAAATTCTAAACCTCATATAATATATAACAAGTAACCTTTTTGAAAAAGGGTATTAGATTTGGCTTGTGAGTGAGAAAGACTTTTAATTACTTCAGATCAATGAATGCAAGTGGGTAAGTCACATGGTCATGGGTTTGAACAGCAATGTTTACAAAAGTTTACAAGGTTTGTAATAGTAATTAGTATTAGTGTTTATTAAGTACAATATAGGATATTAGGATTTATTATTTAATAAAGTGAATGAAGCATACTGCTCTTAAGAGCCATTTCGGTCTTTATTTATAATATAAAATTCATCATTTACAAATGTGACTTATCTCTTAAAACTAATTAAACTATTTACATATATTTATCTAATATTCGTTATTTCCTTCTTTTATTCCTTATCTACCCCTTTAAATCTGAATTACCTTTAATGATCTTAAATGTAACTTATTATGTTTGTTGCTTTTATAGCACTTATTACATTTATTGCACTTATTGTATTTATTGCATTTCATGCATTTCATGCATTTTTCACATGATCAGTCATGGCATTCAGTGTCATGATTCCCAG